CCCCCCAGGCGTGTCCCCTCGGGGGAGCTGAGCCTTTCCCCCGCAGCTCCCCACTGATCCCCCGCGGCCACCTTGCTTGGCGGCCCCTTGCCTCCCCCGGCACCGTGCACCCAACCCGGTAGGGGTGCAGGTAGTGCTCTGTCAGGCAGGGACTCGCCTGCCGCCATGAGGGGCCCGAATCCCTCTTCAGCTCCTTGGAGATCACCTTCAGCAAGGACATCTCCTTGGAGACCTCCTCCATGCGCGACCCTGCCTTGGGTTGGTGGCCTTGGGGAGGCACTGGCCATGTCTCCTCGAGTGCCCAGGGCTGGCCTTGGCTCCTGCATGGGAGAGCCGCCCCACCACCCTCCAGCCCACCAGCACTCCCTCTTAGATACACACACAGTCCTGTCGTGAGGAATGGCTCCGTGTTGGGGAGCAGACCCTGACTCAACAATATCGTGTATTTGTAAATGATTTGTCTTAAAGTGTGTGAAAGATGGAAGCAGAGCAGCATAAAATGACATAAAAGAGGCCTACAAGAAAGATGAAGAGAGACTTACCACAAGGGCATAGAGTGACAGGATGAGGGGCAATGGGTTTAAACTGAAAGAAGGTAGATTTAGATTTAAGGGAGAAATTATTCACTATGAGTGCGGTGAGACACTGGCACAGGTTGCCCAGAGAAGCTGTGGCTGCCCCCCCCGGCAGTGTTCAAGGCCAGGTTGGACGGGGCTTTGAGCAACCTGGGATAGTGGAAGGTGTCCCATGGCAGGGGGGTTGGAACTGGATGATCTTTAAGGTCCCTTCCAACCCAACCATTCTATGATTCTGCATTATATTTGGCAGAGCACATTAGTATTCAAAGGTTTTAAAATAATTGGTTCTTTTGTAATATATTTTACCCACAGGGAAGAAATTGGTTTATATTGAGCCATCTAGGAGAGTTAAAGAAATACTTGAAGAAGAGCTTTATTTTCAGAAAGAAGCATGCCAAATTAAACATCCAGCTGCAGGTAATCGTCATTATCAGCAAATGGCAAGTGTTCGTCAGAGCAAATGAAATATAAATTGCTTTGAGAAACTGTGGCAAAGTTACTATTAAAAAAAAATCAACAGTCTAGAACATTTATGTAATAGGCTGGAGAACATTTAGAAACAGAATAATTGCCTGTAGTCTTTATTACCTTTTTTGTGTGTGTGTCTGAAATTACAGGACCATAGAGAACATGGATAATTCCATATGATCTATCAGTTTAATAAAACAGAAATGAATGCCAAGCAGTAGGGAGGTTTTGTTACCTTTTTCTTTGAAAGAAGTGTTGTAGTTACTAGAATACTTTGTTCCCTTAAAGTTGGTGTTGAAAAGAAAGAGTTGAGGTAAGAATGTTAAAGGAAAAGAAAAGACCAGAAAACAGTGAAAGCCATTAGAAAAAGTCTGATGAGGCAGCTTAAAGGTTATGGAGAGACTGGTTACAGTAGGCAAATATGGAAGTCTAAGAGGGAACAAGGTGTTCAGTCTAGCTAAACTTAAAAGTTCTGAGAACTGGAGGTAAAAATGAGATAAGATCAGAGTAGAAATAATTAGCATTTTTTAACAAAAGATAAATTAATGATGAAACAATTTAACAAAGTTCACTTAGATTCACCATTTTTAATATACATGTTAAATAATTTTGCACTTAAACTGTTAGTGCTGATACAAGCTCATTTGGTGCAGGAATGAGCCTGAAGCCATGTGACCCATATAAGACAAAATTTACATCATGCTGGTGGTCTGCTGCAGCCAGAAGATCTGTTACTCTAATTGTAGAAACTTAATTTTCTGAAGCTTGTAATGTTTAAGGATAGGTCATCTTACCTGGTTGACTACAAGGTCTTATTGCCTTTATCAATCAAGCCATTGTAGTTTATTATGTACCTCTCTGTAGAGTCCACTGAGTAAAGCTGATTATTCCACAGCTTCCTTCAGTAGTTTGTTCTAGCAGTTGGTGTATTAAAAAAAAAAAAAAAAAGCTTGATTAATTATTCAGATATGCATGATTCAGCTCCTTGCTTTTCTTGGATATATAAAAGTGTGTTTTTCAGTATTCAGGATTTCCTTCCAGAGGTTATACACACATATATTTGGTTTTGTCTGTTTATGTACTCTCACCAAATGTTTTGCCTCCTCTTTTAAAATGTGAATATCAAATGGGATCATGGTATTTCAGTATTTGTATCACCAGTAGCCTCAAAAGAGATAGAAAATTATCTACTTATTTTTGAGCTAACATTAGCACTAGGACCTTAAACTGTTTGTCGACTGTTACTCCTAAATCCATGATGCTTTTGCTCCACAATACATATTCTGTAGCCCTACATTCTCTTCTGCTGAGTAAAGGTATTCCTTGGTTATATTAAGCTCTATATTGTTGAAAGAAGCTCACCATTATATATCCTAATTATTACATCCTCTACAAATGTAATAAGGGCATTTTTGGCTTTGTTTCCAAATTTGGAAAATTTTGAAAAAAGTCCGGTTTCTCTTATGTAGGATTGAGATCCATGTCTAAACTCAATCATAATGAATTTTAAGCAGTTGGATTCACAGACAAAAAGGTACATAAATTAGGTGAGGTAATCAGTATCCTGCCAGATGTAAAGACCATTTGAACCTACAACTCTTGTTACTCTGGTTAGGCTTCTTAGGCAGTTACAGCACACACCTGCAAATGAATGACTTATGTAGGCTCTGTTATAGTAAACGGAGGGAAAAAGGCAAACACAGTTTGAAAACACAGTTCTTTTACCTTGTCCTAGATTACTACCACTGCACATGTCATGCTCTAAAAGGTGTCTGTTCTTTTCCCATTGACTGGTTCTGGACAAGTAGCTGAATTTCAGATGTTAACATTGGTCTGCTCAAGCTGTTCATGTGTCTAATGTTACTAAGAGCTGAACACAACTATATTTCACTGCATCCATCTGCCAATGGATCAAAATTATCTAGAATATTTCAGAATATTTTGATTGTATGAATGGATTCTACCATATATGTTCTCATGATTTCTGGGGAATCCCCCAATGAAATGCATGTTACAAAGGCTTAAAATACTAAAGACAATATAGAAACACTACAAAAATATTTGTCACAGGAATATATAATAAGGATGTATAACAAGCTCATTGTATAAATACTATGTGTAGCATAATATGTTGTATACATAGCATTACAATGCTGTGTATAAGAAGGTCAAATAGATACTGGTGTACAGTTTATTCAGCAAGTACCTAGTTCTTTTTTCATCTGTAAACATCTGGAGAATTAAAGATGCTCCCTAAATGGTCTGGGCTCTGAGAAACAATTGTCAGGTTGGATGGTTACTGATTTCCACAGTTCAGATGATTAGTAAGTTTATTGTTTTAAATAACTTAGATGGTTAGTAAATTGTAAACTTTCCACAAAATAAATGAGATTTTTTGTTCTGTTTTGGTGGTGGTGGTTTTGTTTTGGCTTTTTGGCTGTTTTATTTTGGGAGAGGAGGGGTGGTAGGTTTTTGTTCTTCTGTCTTTTTATGAGGGCATTTGATATTCCAGTATGACTAATAAATAATGCTGGATGCATCGATGGTATTACTGCTGTTTCTTACACATTATTGGCCAGCTGCATCTTGCTTTAGTTAGGAGCCTAGCAGTCCTACGCTGTTCTACAGACAGTAGAGAGCGTAGTATACCTTTAGCAATATGAACTGCTCTCTGAAAATGTCAGACTCTTTTAATTAACTGTTGAGGAAGATTATAGTGTTCTGCTTAACTACTTCTAATTACTATATAGACCAAAGGGACCATCTTAAAATGTACATTAATTCTAGAATAAGTTGAAGTAATCAGTTATAACAGTATTTTTTTTTTTTTTAAATTATTAACAGTGGCTCTGGAAGGAATTTGGAGTGTGAAAAAGAATTTCTCCATTGGAAGCCCGACACCAGTGACACAGAACAGAAACAATTTACTTTTACAACCTCAATTCTACTCAAGGCATGCAGGAATGAAAAGTAAGATAATAAGAATAAGAAACTTTCACTTTAACACCTCACTTTAATATGTCAGAGTAATATTATTTTATAAATCATAGACATCTCACAGGACTTCAGATCTGTTTTGTTCAGTGTAATTTTTTTCATCATATTACCTATATAGTCCTATAGTAACAACCACTGGGCATCTTTTTGCCGAGCTAACCCACCTCCTCCTTTAGTAAGCAGCAACAGACTTGAAATCTTTGCATAAGAAACCTGCCTAGGACTGCTATGTTGAGTCATCCTATTTCATATTCTGAAGCCTTTTGTAAATGTGTGGAATAATCACTTGTTTCCTATTGATGAGTGGTGAGTGTTGGTACTCACCTTTCTTAACATCCAACACCCAACCTTAACCAGTTCAGATGTTTAGAAAAGCCCTCCTTCCAACACACCTCCTGAAAAGAGGCTGATCTAGGTATCATTTCAGGCATTTTAACATCTGCCTGCAATGTTCAGCTGCTGCTCTGGGGCAGATGTTTCTTGCTTTACAGTCAGTGGAGTGTGGCTTTTGTGGAACAGACCAGTTCCTTATGAGCTGGTGGATTTTAGCATAGTCTTCTCAATGTGCCCACCTTCTCTTTTTCAGTGAAATTTATTAACTTTGTAGTGGAAGGTGAAAGCTTCCAACACTAAGGAAACAGAGTTCATTCATTTTGTAAGAGGAATATTGTTAGTGCCATGAGCTTGCAGAATACATGAACTCAGCTATTTTACCATTAAATGAACCTCCTTCCCATGTTCTTGGGGGCTAGCAGTCTAAAAAATACAGCTAGCTCCATGAGCACCTCTTTCTTCCTATCTTTTTTGCTCTGGAGATAGTGGCATCCTAGTTACAACAGCAGCATGAATTAAGTTGTTGCTTGTGAAAGAAGTTTTTAACCAGTACAGCCTTCTGCCACACTGCTTTTGCTCTAGAGAGAATACTTGTAGGAACATTTTGTTTATAGAGCAGGCCTAATCTATGCTAGGTATTAACTGCAGTCACTTCTGGTATGTACTTAAACCAAAAAAATTTTAGCCACACCATAGAAATTATAGCCAAGGAATGCCTCAGAGTTTGGAGGTGTTGGCATAATTTTAAAACTCATGTATCTGAGTCTTCTAGTGAAAGCATGCAGTTTTCAAAGATCCTGATGTTTCTCATTAAGATCCATGAGGGAAGAAGAGCTTTAAAACAAAGCAGTTTATTAAAATTTATTTAGGTGCTGAAATTTGTGGACCCTGTTCCTTTGGGAATTTAGATGTACCTTTGCTGCCAGAGACTGCTGCTAGAGACAAGTGATGCTCTACTCACTAGCTGTACTGCCTGTTTTGCAGCAGGTATCATGACAGAAGGGGTGACAGAAAAGATACCAGACAGGATGAAAACTGGAAGCAATCTGGCTTCAGCTCCTGTACTCACCAAACCATTTCCATTCACACACCCTCTTCTCTGTAAGGATCTAAGGACAAAGTGAGGTGATAATATACTAACTGAGGTGGAATAGGTATAGGCTATGGAAATGGACAAAAAAATAAGAGAGGTTTCAAGAGAGAAGTTGAGCCTACTGTGTTTAGTGCCAGAAAGAAAAGCACCACCAAAAAGAAAATGAAGAAGCACAGACAAGAGGAATGAAAGAGGAGATAGAACAGAATGCTGGGAATTCCTGAAGGGAATGGGAGAGAGTAGAACACAGTTCAGCCACAGAGGGATATAAACTGAAAGAAATTAAGGAAAAATATGTAGGACAAATAAGTAGAAGAGACAAAAAGAAAAAATACATACCCATATTGCTGAATTTACTGAAGTTAATGCATTTATTTTTGCTTCTCCCATTTACTGCCTTTCCCTAAAAGTGACTAGAGGCTTGGGGGGGTTCACTGTGTGGTGTCTCATCCATCCTTACAGCGGATCTTGTTTTTTTACAGATTGCTGAATTTCAGTGCTGTGAAGAACTGAGCCTGTTGTGATGTGTCAAATCAAACATCAAAATGACGAGCTGCCTTTAGAAATGTAGATTGGTATTTCTAAGATTTTGAAGAAAGCTCTGTGTGGATAGGGAGCTATTTCCTTTGTTGTTGTTTTAGTCATGTCCTTGTACTTCTTTTTTATCAGATGTTGTAGTAGCCAAATCTGATCCATATTTCAGCCAGTGATGAAGATGCCACAGTCTAAAGATAACAAAATGTTCTTCCTGACAAAAATGTGCTACTGTGAAACTTGACATTTTCATAGGCTTCTCTGTTGCAAAGTGATTTTAAGTTCCAGCAGAAGATTGTAACGTAATTGAAGAGGTGCCTTAAAATGCCTTAGGCTGTACATTCATTAAATTGAGCAGTTCATAAGACAAGAGTTTGTGAATCAGTAGCTAGCCTGATTTAATAAAAGTTTAACATAAATAAGCCTTTCTATATGTAAGAGTTATCATAGTGTCAAACAACCACAGAGGCAGCATGGAACCTGAAATAACTGTCACTAAACTCTCACTCCTCACCATTATTACAGTGAGGTCGTACAAAATGATCATTAGTTTGTTTGGTATTATCACAGCACTTAGGAATGTGGATCATTCTAGGTGCTGCATAAAACCAGAACAAAAGATAGGTTTGAAAGCTCATGGATGGTTGGAGTAGGTACCAGAGACAGGAGCGACATTTGCAGCTACAGAATAGCTTCAGTGCTTCAGGCAGCAGCCAAGGGTCTGGAAGCACAGTCCCACTGAGCATCTGAGCTGGCTGAGCCTGGACCATGCAGGACAAAGTGAAGAGTGATAGTAGTTGGAGATGCCTTGCTGCAGGAGATGGAAGCTCTCATTTGCTGCCCCAACATGCTGCCTGGGGAGGTTTGTTGGGGGGCTGAGATCTCAGATGATGTGGAGAGTGTGCTGAGTCTCATCTGGGCCTTAGACTTTGACTCCCTGCTGCTCTTCCACGTGGACACCAGAAATACTGCCAGGGGAGACGTGGAGAGTATCGAGCATGACTACACTGGCATAGGGAGAGTCAAAGACACAGGTGCCCAAGTAATTTCTCCTCAATCCTTCCAGGGACGGTGTAGGGCTGGAGGAATGGATGGATCCTGTGGGTAAACTCTTGTTTGCACATCTGTTGTTGAAAAAGGGGAGTTGGCTTTTATGACTGTGGGATGTTTCCTCTGAGTACTAAGAACTGCTGGGATGAGATTCGCCTCAACAAATAGACCAAAAGCTATGTTTGTACTATAACTAGAAGGATCCATGATTGTTTCCTAAATGCTGTGATAACATGAGAAACAGATAGCAGTGGTCATTTGCCTAACCAACCTGGGGAGGAGAACTGTAAGCAGGAGTGACAGGGGAGGGAGGTGACAACCCACGATCGAGTGAGAAGGTGGTGGACCAGCTTGGTAGGCATGATATTTCCTGTTTTCATGTTTAACAATATAACTTAATGGTCAGTCTTTGCCCTATTTCTAGAAAAACTGTAGCACATTATTTTCCAAGTTAACAATACTTAGCACTTACCAGCACTTTTCATTACCAGAATTCTTCCCAGACATCCCTCCAGAACATTTGTGGAATAAACAAGTGTTACTGTCTTTTTAAAGGAGGGAATTGCATTGTACAGTGAAAAAAATGAACTAGGACTAATGGATAATTTAAAATTAGGGTTGAAGAGATCTTTATTCCCAGTTATACCTCAGACTGGTAATTCACATGTTTCCTACGGTGTGATCCTAAGAGGTGGAGATGGGATTATTTTCTGGGGCTCTCAGATCCTAAGGAAGTATCTAAACCACACTGAATGTCATTAAAAAGGGAGTGTCAGTGACAACTTTGTGAAGGTAGACTTTGTTTTCCTTTGTTTTTTTACAATTATCTGTGAATGAAATGGGATGTTTGGTTTTTGATTGTCTGGAACACAACAACCCCCAGCACCGCTACAGGGTTGGGGAGGAGTGGCTGGAGAGCTGCCAGTCAGAGAGGGACGGGGGGGG